ATGAATGAAAGACTTCCACAATCCCTCATCTTCCAAAAATTGTATAGACTATATCTCCAATTGTGTTGTTGCTGTTGTTTTCCATCATGTTGACTTCAATTTATGGTAACCTATGGATGAGAAACCTCTCAAGATCCCTAGTCTTCAAAAAGGTCTATATACTATATTGCTGATGGTGTCATTGTTGTTGTTTGCTGTTAAGTTAGGCGTATGGTGATGCTATGAATGAGAGACTTCCAAGTTCTCTAGCCTTTCAAAAAAAGTGTGTAGGTCAGTGGTTCTCATCCTGTGGGTCTCCAGAAGTTTTGGCCTTCAACTCCCATAAATCCTAACAGCTGGTAAACTGGCTGGGATTTCTGGGAGTTGTAGGCCAAAACACCTGGGGACCCACAAGTTGAGAACCACTCGTGTAGGCTATATCTCTGATAGCATTGTTACTATTATTGCCATCAATTTGACTTCAACTTGTGATGACCCTATGAATGGGAGACCTCCAAGATCTCTAGCCTTGCCAAAAAAAGTTACACATTATGTCTCTAATGTTGTTGCTATTATTTGCCATCAAGTCAGCATTGACTTATGTTGACTGAATGAGAGGGAAATGTTGAGACCTCTATTCTTGCAAGAAAAATGTCTATACAGGATATCTCTGATGGTGTTGTTGCTATTATTTGTTACCAAGCTGACTTCAACTTATGGCAGCCGTATAAATGAGAGACTTCCATGATTCAAAGTCTTCCAAAAATTGTGTAGACTGTATCTCCAGTGGTGTTGGTCCTGTTATTTTCCATCACTTTCACTTCAATTTATGGCAACCCTATGAATGAGACACCTCCAAGATCTGTAGTCTTTCAGAAAGGTGTGTAGGCTATCTCTCTGATAGCATTGTTACCATTATTTGCCATCGATTTGACTTCAACTTATGATGACCCTATGGATGAGAGACCTCCAAGTTCTCTAGTCTTGTTAAAAAAAGTTTACACTATGTCTCTAATGGTGTTGTTGTTGTTGTTTTCTATCACGTTGACTTCAATTTGTGGCCACCCTATGAACGAGACACCTCCAAGATCCCTAGTATAGTCTTAAAGGTCTATACAATACATCACTGATGTTGTCATTGCTGTTGTTTGTCATCAAGTTGGCTTCAATGTATGGCGATGCTATGAATGAGAGACCTCCAAGATCTGTAGTCTTTCAAAAAGATGTGTAGGCTATATCTCTGATAGCATTGTTACCATTATTTGCCATCAATTTGACTTCAACTTATGATGACCCTATGAATGGGAGACCTCCAAGCTCTCTAGCCTTGCCAAAAAAGGTATACACTATATCTCTAATTGTGCTGTTGTCCTTCTTTGCTGTCATGTTGACTTCAATTTATGGCAATCCTATGAATGAGAGACCTCCAAGATTCCCAGTCTTTCATCTATGGATTTCTTGACTGTAAGAAATTATAGTCTTTTCCAATGAGCCACATCATGATGTGTCCAAAGTACGACAGCTCAATACAGGACACAACACTTGCTTATTTTGCTGAAGTAAAAACGCATGTGTGTGTGAGAGACTTATTTTCTAGTCCTAGTCCAATATTCAGATCACATTATTTCAGGCTGTCCTTATGTGCATCTACACTGTAGAATCAATGTTGTTTGAGATCACTTGATCTGCCATAGCTGAATGCAGTGGAGTCCTGGGAGTTGTGGTTTGGCGAGGCACTCTGTGGTTTCACAACCACTCTTCAGCAGTTGTGAAACTACAGATCCCATGATTCCCTAGTACTGGACTGTGGTAGTTAAAGTGGTGCCAAAGTGCATCAATTCTACCATGCAGATGTGCCCATTGGGAAGTGTAGGGTGGGTGGAAGGAAGGTGTGGGCAGCTGAAGAGCAGCAAATGTGGAAGGATGGGAACGAAGTGACGTGAGGATGATGGGATGTCAGGGCTTCATGGCTGGATCTCCTTGTCAGAGGTGGGAAAGACGGCGCCTGGAAGCCGATTGCAATTTTCCCTGCTCCTTTCTCTCCCAGGGAGTTCTTCTTCTCCGACTGCTTTTTCTCCATTAGCCAAATGCGCTGGTCTCAAATTATACATTCGCGCTGCACACGCTCTTCTGTCTACATAATTACAAGACACTTCAGGATTTCAACCTGTTTGACTTTCCACTCCTGGCGCTCTGTTTGTTTTGCTCGGAGCTGGAAGGTATTAAAGGAAAGTTACAAAGACGCACCATATCTTTTTTCGCCTCCCTCTTTGGGGTAGAGCTTTGCAATCTGATGGGAATGGAAATGGCGATTGCGTTGGCTTTTCCTGGAAGGATGTTTTAATATATGTGTAAATAGGGATGGAGATGGAGGGTCCATCTGACGCCGGACGATCGGGTGTCCGCACTAAGCCTGGCATCAATATGGTGGCCCATACAGGGAGCCAGGGGCCACCAGGTTGCATCCGGTGTCACATTTAGAGCAGGCATGGGTCAACTTGGTTCTTTCCTCTTAAGCGGCTGAGGGGGAAAAGGAACGGGCCAGAGGCTGTTAAGAATGGTGGGAGTTGAAGTCCAAAACACATTAAGGGAAGGCTCAAGTTAGCCGATGCCTTTGTCCTCTTGGAACTAGACACTTCAGTCAATCAAGGGATCATCTGCATACCCACCTTGTGGGAGTTGAAGTCCAAAACACCTGAAGGGAAGGCCCAAGTTGGCCCATGCCTTTGTCCTCTTGGAACTGGACACTTCAGTCAACCAAGGGATCATCTGCATACCCACCTTGTGGGAGTTGAAGTCCAAAACACCTGGAGGAAAGGCCCAACTTGGCCCATGCCTGATCTACAATGTGCAGTTTGACACCTGATGAAACTGCAACTCTGGGATTCCATAGCATTGAACCATGGCAGTTCAAGTGGCATCAAACTGTATCAGTTTGACAATGTAGATTCACCTTAGTTGTGACACAGTAGATGATGTGATCATCTTAATGTAGAATATATTTTGCAATTTGATACCGCTTTAATTGAAAGACGCCTACGATGTCTGATGTAGTCCTTAGGATGTTAGGGAGCTCTAGCGTGTTCCTTTGAACTACATTTTCCCAGAGAAGAGGGGTTTAGGATTTAATCCCACAAACTTTGATAAATCTGACAAATGTCCAAGAATACCTCCAATTAATGACTCAATTTCACCCTCTCTTGCATCATTTACCAGTGCATTCCGATGGCTCTTTTAGTAACCAGGGCTTGCTGAACTATGGCCAGAAGAAAGTAGAAATTAATTGAAGGACTTTGGAGGATTTCGTTGTATTTGAGCCAAAAGCGCTTAATGGTTTCTGACATTTCACAGTGGCCTCATAAAACGATAGCAAAGAAAGCTAACCATAATGCAAATGGTGAGATTTACATAGACACATATACGGTGCGTTTTTATAGTCCTGAATATTTACTAGCGAAAGTGCTTCATAAGACAAATGTAAAATTTTCTTAATGAGCAATAATTACGATGGAAAGGATTCTCTTTCTTCTTCTTCTCTGAGATACTTTGTTCAGAAAATCGTGAATCACTATGAAATTTTTCATAGTGATGAAAAAAGTTTTTGAAATTTTTCATAGTGATGAAAAAAGTTTTTGAAATTTTTCATAGTGATGGAAAAAGTTTTTGAAATTTTTCATAGTGAGAAAAAAGTTTTTGAAATTTTTCATAGTGATAAAAAGGTTTTTGGAAATTTTTCACAGTGATAAAAAAGTTTTTGAAATTTTTCACAGTGATAAAGGTTTTGAAATTTTTCATAGTGATGGAAAAAGTTTTTGAAATTTTTCATAGTGATGAAAAAGCTTTTGAAATTTTTCATAGTGATAAAAAAGTTTGTGAAATTTTTCATAGTGATTAAAAAAATTCCTAGCAATACTTTTTTGTCCTTTTCTGGTGTAGAAGCAGCGTGATGTTGTAGGACAACATTTCCCATCAGGAAAGAATGCATTTGGGCAAAATAGGCACTTTGCGCAATTTTGTGTTTCTGGTGAATGAATATTTCGCACAAAAAGTCTCAAAATGTAAAAAATTCGCAGAAATGATTGAAAACTTCCAGAATGTCACCTGGGAAAGACAGAACAAAATGGTTGATTATTAAATATGAAAAATAACATTTCTAAACTCTGGTTCACTTGAAGGAGAGGAACTCTTCCTGACAGAGCTTGGAAAAGTTACTTTTCCAGAAACCCAACTTGTTGACCCAACGTCCATGGTTGTAGGTCTTGTGATCATCCGAACCCGCTGAGGTTTAGCCGAGGAGATAATGTAGCTGCTGTTTCATGTCGCTCTGGCCTTGAAAGGAATTGGGGTGACAGGGTTGGGTATATTTCTCTCTGCCCATCTTGGAGTATGGCTCGAAGTCTGCTAAATATCATGTGAGCCTGACAAATGGCTCTGGACCTCCTCAATTCACTCTCTGGGAATGAGCTGCCTTATGAAAGAGACAGCTGTCTCCTCCCAACCCAACAGACCCCAGACTTTCATCACTTGGCTTGAGAAGTGTCTGGATTCACAGCCCCGGGTTAGTGGCAGAGAGGGAAGAAGGGAAATAAATCTCTCAAGGTGTTGATTCAGGGTCTCTTTCTCTCTTTAGTTTCCTCCCATTTTCTGACAATCGTTTGGTTTGTACCACAGCCCATCCTGAGCTCATATATATATATATATATCTATAGAGAGAGATAGACACATACAGAGATAGGTATATATCGTAAGAGTTGGTGGGGAATTTCTTTTCCTTTCACTTGTCAAGACTTCCTTTGTTTTGGGAAAACAAAGTTTGTGAGATTCCACACTGAGCTTGTATAGAGCACCTCTATGCAAGCTCGCAAATTCAATGGGATTTACACGCGTGTTACATGCATGGGACTCTTGTGCATGTTAGATCCAGTGCCTGGACATTGATATTTTTGGAATGTTCTCTCCAAACTACACAAACTGGGGCTAGCTTTTTCCTCCCTAATTGTCGTGCTTTCCCTTTTCTTTAGGAAACTGCACAGTGGGATGAAGACGTACGGGTGCGAATTATGCGGGAAGCGGTTCCTGGACAGCCTACGTCTCCGGATGCACTTATTGGCTCATTCAGGTAAGTGTGGGGAGGCTCTAGACCTCTATCTTATACTCCTTGGGACATTTGTGCTCACGCCAAATTTTAAAAGGGGGGAAATGACCATTCTTTTTTGCATCTTATAGTTGTTGGAAGGCCAAATTGGAACCTCACTTGTAACTTTTCCACCACTTTATTTATATTGTCTGGAACCCTATTGATTTGTAAGCCTAGGGGTGAGGTTTGGGGAATAAGCCATGCCCCCTAGGCAGAGAAAGGCCCCGCCCACCAGCCCTAGGAAAATGAGCAATAGAATCATAGAATCAGAAAATCAAAGAGTTGGAAGAGACCTCCTGGGCCATCCAGTCCAACCCCATTCTGCCAAGAAGCAGGAATATTGCATTCAAATCACCCCTGATAGATGGCCATCCAGCCTCTGTTTAAAAGCTTCCAAAGAAGGAGCCTCCACTCCGATCTGGGGCAGAGAGTTCCACTGCTGAACGGCTCTCACAGTCAGGAAGTTCTTCCTCATGTTCAGATGGAATCTCTCTCTTGTAGTTTGAAGCCATTGTTCCGCGTCCTAGTCTCCAGGGAAGCAGAAAACAAGCTTGCTCCCTCCTCCCTGTGGCTTCCTCTCACATATTTATACATGGCTATCATATCTCCTCTCAGCCTTCGCTTCTTCAGGCTAAACATGCCCAGCTCCTTAAGCCGCTCCTCATAGGGCTTGTTCTCCAGGTGATGAAAGGGCCTGGGGTGGGGTTTTGAAGAAGCCCCACCCCTGAGCAGGACAAGGCCCCGCTCACTGCCCCAAACTTGGATGCTGTCTGGGGACAGGTGTTGAAAAAAAAATTATTTATTAATATTATTAAAATATTGTTAATAATATATTATTATAATATAATGATAATATATTATATAATAATAATATATTGTTACGCTGTGGATGACGAGATGGATAATGTATTGTCGAAGGCTTTCATGGCTGGAATCACTCAGTTCTTGTGGGTTTTTTCGGGCTATATGGCCATGTTCTAGAAGCATTTCTCCTGACGTTTCGCCTGCATCTATGGCAAGCATCCTCAGATGACCTCACCTCTGAGGAAGCTTGCCATAGATGCAGGCGAAACGTCAGGAGAAATGCCTCTAGAACATGGCCATATAGCCCGAAAAAACCCACAAGAACTGAGATGGATAATGTTTTTAATTAGGAGATGCAAATGGCTTATGTTTTTATTACTCTTGTTATGGTTTTATACTATGTATTAATGTTTTAAATGTTTTATGATGTTCTTGGGCATAGAATTGTTGCCTCTGTAAACCACCCTGAGTTGCCTGAGAACTGAGAAGAGCAATATACAAATATAGTAAATAAAATAAATAAATAAATTTGTCACAACTGATGTAGGGATCGGTAAACCCCATAAACCAGTGGTTCTCAACCTTTCTGATGCTGCGACCCCTTAATACAGTTCTGTATGTTGTCCTGACCCCCAACCATGAAATTATTTTCGTTGCTACTTCATAACTGCAATTCCGTTACTGTTAGGAATCATCATGTAAATAACTGATATGCAAGGTGTATTTTAATTCAGTAGATCAAATTTGGCACAAATACCCGATACGCCCACATTTGAATACTGGTGGAGTGGGGTGGGGGGACTGATTTTGTCATTTGGGAGTTGTAGTTGGTGGGATTTATAGTTCACCTACAATCAAAGAGTATTCTGAACTCCACCAGGAATGGAATTGAATCAAATTTGGCACACAGAACTCCCATGCCCAACAGAAAATATTGGAATGATTTGGTGGGCATTGACCTTGAGTTTTGGAGTTATAGTTCACCTACATTCAGAGAGCACTGTGGACTCAAACAATAATAGATCTGGACGAAACTTCTCACGAATACTCAATATGCCCAAATGTGAACACTGGTGGAGTTTGGGGAAATTAAAGCTTTGTATTTGGCAGTTGTAGTTGCTGAGATTTATAGTTCACCTACATTCAAAGAATCCCTTGAATCCCACCAATGATAGAATTGGTCCAAACTTCCAACACAGAACCCCCCATGACCAACAGAATGTACTGGAGGGATTTGGGATGAATTGACAGTGATTTAGGGGAGATGTAGTTCACCTTCCACCTTTCCGATGGGTCTTTGGTGACCCCTCTGACACCCCCTCACGACCCCCCCCAGGGGTCCCGACCCCCAGGTTGAGAAACGCTGCCATAAGCCATATCTCAATGAACCCATATTCAAGTAAGCTGGGCTAGCCAGAAGAAGAGTCATGGAGTTGGAAAGGATCATATTGTCCATCAAGTTCAACCATCTGCCATAAATGTACACACAATTGAAGCAATTCTGAAAGACACCTCTCCAAACTCTATTCAAACATCTCCAGAAATAGGAAGTCCTCCATAATCCAAGGCAGTCCATTTCACTGTCAAGTTGTTCTTTCTGGTGGGACTCCTTTCTTGTAACTTGAATCCATTCGGTTGTGTTGTAGTCTCTGGAGAAGCAGAAAACAAGCTGAGTCCTTCTTCTTCATAACATCTTTTCAGATGGTCAACAAATTATTATTCCTTTTCTTGTTCTCCAAAATAGACATCTAGTTTGTTCTTGAAGCTAAAGATCTCCAGCTCCTGAAGCTATCCTTCATAGAGCTTGATCTCCAAACCTTTGACCATCTTGGTCTCCATCATCTGGAGAACTTCCAACTTGCTAGTACCCTACATGGTGCCCAGAACGAGACACAATATTCTCAAATTATGACCCATTTTCCAGCTCATAAATCTGTTAGGTTGCCCATTTCTGGATGTCTGGAAGTCTTTCAAGCAAAGGTTGTCGTTGTCTCCTTGTCGCAGATTTTGAATTCCATGCACCTCGTTATTGTTTCGACCCTGTCTACCTCTTTAGAAATGAGTAGGCATTTCTTCATTCTCCCTGCACCACCTTCGTTGACAACAGCATGTTTTGCATTTCCATATTTAAATACCTGATTCGCCATGTTTGAGCATCAACTGAAGTTTCATTAGTAAAACTCCTGCCGAATTAGGCATTTGCTACCTTTAATGAATCCCACTATTGGGTTCAAATTATGCAGACCCATTTTAATTAAATGTCTGTCGATGGGCTGGAATGCTAAGCTAGGGAGAGAATGAGACACACCGCAAGCTTATTTCATCCCAACCTTCCTTCCACATGGGACTCTGGTTTGTGTATTATTTTAGTATTTCTTACCTGCCTTAGATCAATAGATCTGGTAGAAACTGATCAAAATTATGTCCGAATTAAGGTATGGATGTAAACGCCGGACAGTAAAGAAAGAGGATAGGAAAAGACTCAGGTTTCATGTTCACTGCCATATTACTTACTTAGATGATCCCTCATTGTATGAGTAAGTTTGGAGTCCTAGGTGACTGTGGAGCCCGATTCTTGACCTGCATCTTCTCCCGCAGTGAGGGCATTGGTTTCCAGTTGTTCGGTGGTCCCGGTTGGGGTTGGCTTGATGCGCATTCCTCTTGGCACGTTTCTTTCTTTCGTCCTTCATTCGTGCCTCTTCAAATTCTGCAGTACTGCTGGTCACAGTTGACCTCCAACTGGAGCGCTCAAGGGCCAGGGCTTCCCAGTTCTCTGTGTCTATGCCGGAGTTTTTGAGGTTGGCTTTGAGCCCATCTTTAAATCTCTTTTCCTGTCCACCAACATTCCATTTCCCATTTTTGAGTTCGGAATAGAGTAACTGCTTTGGGAGATGGTGGTTGGGCATCCGGAGAACGTGGCCTTCCAGCAGAGTTGATGGTGGAGGACCATTGCTTCAGTGCTGGTGGTCTTTACTTCTTCCAGTATGCTGACATTTGTCTTCTTGTCTTCCCAAGAGATTTGCAGGATTTTCCTGAGGCAGCACTGATGGAATCGTTCCAGGAGTTGCATGTGACGTCTGTAGACAGTCCACGTTTTGCAGGCGTATAACAGGGTTGGGAGGACAATAGCTTTATAAACAAGCCCCTTGGTATCCCTACGGATGACCCGTCCATTGAGGGGGGCACAACATTATAGTAGTTGGACGAGAAGAGAGCGTGGACTGAGGAAGGCAAACTACAGGGTCGACCAATGGCAAAGCTCCTCTGAAAACCATACAATAAGGGTCATGACATTACTTACTTACTTAGGCTATCCCTTGTAGCCTGAAGATGATGGTCCTCAAGGTGCAGTGTCTTGGAGGTGGGTCTGTAGGTGGTTGTGGAACCCTATTCTTGATCCACATGTTCTTCTGTAGTGAGGGCATCGGTTTCCAGGTGGAAGGCGGTCCCGGTCGGGGTTGGCTTGACGCGCCTTCCTCTTGGCATGTTTCTCTCTTTCATCCTCCATTCGTGCCTCTTCAAATTCTGCAGCACTGCTGGTCACAGCTGACCTCCAACTGGAGCACTCAAGGGCCAGGGCTTCCCAGTTCTCGGTGTCTATGCCAGAGTTTTTAAGGTTGGCTTTGAGCCCATCTTTAAATCTCTTTTCCTCCCCACTGTCATATAATGCAGTTTCAAAATTCAGATTATCTGTATTGAACTGAATTATATGGCGGAGTAGACTCATATAATCCAGTTCAATGCATTTCAGTCTACAGTACATGACTCTACACTGGTCATTATAATGCATAGGAGCCCCCGGTGGCACAGTAGGTTAAACCTCTGTGCCTGCAGGACTGAAGACCGATAGGTCGCAGGTTCAAATCCGGGGAGAGGCAGATGAGCTCCCTCTATTAGCTCCAGCTCCTCATGTGGGGACATGAGGAAAGTCTCCCACAAGGATGATAAAAACATGAAATCATCTGGGTGTCCCCTGGGCAACGTCCTTGCAGACGGCCAATTCTCTCACACCAGAAGCGTCTTGCAGTTTCTCAAGTCACTCCTGACACGACAAAAAAAATATTATAATGCATTATGTGACAGTGTAGATGGGGCTTTGGATCATTTGAAATGTCTGGTGTGCAAATTTGGTGTCAATTTGCCCAATGGTTTTTGAGTTATGCTAATCCCACAAACCA